ATGCTCCGCCAGCCCGCTCTGCTTGGTAAGACACTTGACTTGAGCAAGGCCTACCGCCAGGTGAGCATCCACCCTTCCACGAGGGAGCATGCTGTCCTTGGCTTCCCTAACCCACAGGGCAAGTGGGAGTTTTACATAGCCCAGAGCCTGCCTTTTGGTGCTGCTGCCAGCGTATGGGTTCAATAAAGTAGCACTTGCGATCCTTCATATCATGGTTGTCAAGTTCGCTGCGATCGCGACTGATTTTTATGACGACTACACAGTGTATGAATTTCGCCCAGCTGCTTTCTTGTTGGACAAAGTCCTGATGAGGCTGCTTGACCTGCTTGGGTGGTCCTATGCAAAGAGTGGGCGGAAATTTGTTCCCTTTGACAACAAGGTGGTCTCCTTGGGTGTTTCTTTGGGCCTTGACGAGATATGGCAGGGCACTCTCAAGGTTGAGAACAAGGCTGGACGACTTGAGAAAATTGCCGCACTCCTTCGTGCGGTAGCCCAGGGAGGAGCTGTGACGAGAAGTGATGTGGCTTCGCTTCATGGCTTGATTAACTTCGCCGGGGGTCTGATTATGGGCTTCGAGCTTAAGCCAACTTCCCGGATGCTGACACGGGCTTTGTCAGGGCCCTTCCTGGGCAACACGCCTGAGCTTCGGCAAGCTTGTGAGCTTGCTCTGGATGTCATCGCGCAGTGCAGGCCGAAGCGCTGCCCGGCTACGATTCTGCCACCTGTAGTGCTCTACACGGATGGGGCCTTCGAGAAAGGGCGAGGCACCTGGGGAGCGATTCTTGTTGATGCTTACACGAGCTCCCGATGGGTTTTCGGGGGAGAAGTTTGCAAACCGCTGATGGATCACTGGGGCAGAGAGGCTGGCGCCCAAGTGATTTGCCAGGTTGAAGCCTACGCTCTGGCGATTACCTTGTTCGGGATCCGCGGCCTCCTCAAAGGTCGCTCGGTCCTAGCTTGGATCGACAACAATGCATGCCTTTATGGATTCGTGAAGCGATACTCGCCTTCGGCTTCGCTGATGCGCCTCATCTCACTGGGGGCCTTGATGGAGAGCTCCATGGAGGCGCTTATGTGGTTTGAGCGGGTTCCCTCAAAGAGTAACCCGGCGGACCTTCCGTCGCGGGGACTGTTTGCCCAGGCCTGTGATCGGTTTCAAGCCATAAACAAGGGGGACGTGGCAGCCACCGACACGATGTTGGACTTCATTCGTGCTCCCAATTACGAGCCGAAGCTAGCCCAGGCGATTCTTTCGTCGGCTAGGCTGGAAGCCGATTGGGCTGCGGAAGCTATGCAGTGAGTTTCGATGCATCCTCCGATCGCGGGGCCGGGGGAAGATGGTTGCTCTGTTCGGCTGCATTTGCCGTTTATCTGTTCGGCTGCTCTTGCCTTACTTCGAGGGGTTGTGCTCGCCCTCTCTCGCCATCAACCCGGTAGCAGAACCCCCGTTGCAACGGAGAACAAAAAGAAGTCCTGTCCGAGTGAAGCCTTTCCTCTTTTGCAATATGATATAGATTGCTGGACTGATTATTCCTGTGATTGGAGATTGAAAATTTTTTCCATATACTTTTATATATCTTCGATTCCTCTCATATCTGAGGATAACTTAAACTGCAAGGAGACCAGAGAAACGTCCCACGGAGCGGAGCGCAGTTATGTTTATCCTGGTCTAGCGAAGCCAAAGGCGAAGCGCACTTGCAGTTTTCAAACATCATTGTTTAAACCAATGTTTTAACTTTCGAGATCTTTAACAGATTCCGTTGTCATGCGATTGATGCTGTTTTTAGCATCGCCTATTTGATGCTGTATTTTGCATCACGATTTCCTGCATGATGATTCGGTAGATACTTGTGCGATTTTGAATCGTGTCACCCGGCGGTGTGTTCAAGGCTGAGTTTGCCAAAATTTTTCGACCACCCACCCGCCCGACATAGTTTCAATACGGTTTTTGTGAGACTGGGGGAAGATGGTTGCTCTGTTCGGCTGCATTTGCCGTTTATCTGTTCGGCTGCTCTTGCCTTACTTCGAGGGGTTGTGCTCGCCTTCTCTCGCCATCAACCCGGTAGCAGAACCCCCGTTGCAACGGAGAACAAAAAAAGAAGTCCTGTCCGAGTGAAGCCTTTCCTCTTTTGCAATATGATATAGATTGCTGGACTGATTATTCCTGTGAAAAAAAAAAAAAAAATTTTTCCATATACTTTTATATATCTTCGATTCCTCTCATATCTGAGGATAACTTAAACTGCAAGGAGACCAGAGAAACACGAACCAAACGAATTGTTCCCTGGAGGCCTGGGGGGGTGGGGGGGGATGGCAGGGGCGCGGCGGCTCTTTCAGTTGTACGCCCGGCCACTGCGGCTTCGGACCACAGCCATGTTGTCATGCAGTCTTCAGTTCGGTCAGTTGCACTTATGTTCAGTCATGTCAGACATGTCAGTGCTTGCATGTTTTTCAGTCTCTTTTAGGCATGTCAGTTTTAGTCCATTTTCAGTTGGCCTTTTTATTTGGCCACGAAACCTTTTCAGTTTTGCCTTTGACTTTTCGAACAATCTCTGGAGAGCTTTCGCGGAATCTGATCTATGCATCCGATACATCGCGGACCAATCGGGAGGGGATCTTAGAAATTTTAGTTACGGGGGGGCGCCTTTCAGGCTTCTTCGCGCAATGGCATTATATGATGGAGGATAGGCTCTGGAATCTTCTTGAAGATATCGGCTGCACTTGCGTGAGGGAGCTGCGTTTGCATTTTGATACTCCTTGGCACCTGGCCTGCTCAGTGGACAGCTTAGAGGATTCAGTGGTCCTGGCCGAGCAGATCCTTCCGTCTGCTGTGTCCTCAGACCATAAGAGAGCTGGTGCGCTTATTTGGGGCTGGCTCCGGGATCAAACTGACTTGTTGAAGCGGGTGCAAGGTAGGCTAAAGACGAAGGCTACGAGGATTGTGGCGCCTCCTTGTGGTGATGTTTCTCCTGGTGAGGTTTATGCACAATTGGTGAGCGGCAGCCTTGAATTAACGAAGCAGACCAGTCGGGCTCATGCGAGATGGATCTCGAGTGGGGCTGGTACACCAGCTGATGCTGAGAAGGCTGCTAGAAAGTTCTGGGGTACAGTCTTGGTGCAAATTATGGTGGAGGCTAAGCTTCCAATTGTGGATATTCCGGTTGAAAGTGAGGAGCAAAGGGTTCTGTATGCTTTGAGGGCCTTGGGTACCCGTCGTTCGAAGACTTTGAGGAACCGGGCACGAGCTTGGCGCAAGGCTCGGGACTGGATGCTTTCTGTGAAGTCAGTTGCTTTCCCGCGGCGTCCGAGTGACGTTGTGGACTATCTCCTCTTCTTGGAGCAGGAGGTGGGCACCAAGAGCTGTATTTCGGAGTTTATGAGCGCTCTATCTGTTCTGGAGGATGCAGGGCAGGTTCCTTTGGCCAGCCAGTTGTGCAAGGACAGATTGGTGGTTGCTGCCTCGAGGAGCTCAGAGGCAGAAGTTCATGTGGGGGTCACGAGCAAGAAGCAGGCGGCCCCCTTGTCGGTGGCAATGCTGCTTTCTTTGGAAATCTTTGTGGTATCCAGCGGGAATCCATTATATGCTAGATGCCTTATGTGGGCCTGTCTGGTGTGTGTCTGGGCTTGCATGCGTGTGTCCGATCTGCAAGGAATCGACGTTTCTAGGCTTAGGCTTTTTCGTGATGGGCTTAAGGGCTTCTTAGTCAAAACCAAGACAACCGGTCCCGACAAGAAGGTGGCTGAGGTTCCCTTCTTTGTGGGTCGGGATGTGGGGTTGTCTGGTCGTGATTGGCTGCTCTCGGGTTTCGACTTGTGGAGGGGCCTTGGGCAGCTGGACAGGACTTTCTTGGTGTTCCAATCATCCGAAGATTTTGAGGAGCCGATTTTCAAATTTGCGAAACCGGAGGTCATCAGCAATTACATGCGCTTGATCTGGCGACAGCTGAAAGTTCCTTTTCGCCAGATTGGTGAACATGTGTGGAGATCGAGGGCTGCGGGGGCCCTCCTTGGTGACGAGTGTTATTTGTTCTGGACGGGCCATAGCATGCGTCATGTTCTTCCAACCATTGCTGCTGTTCTGGAGGTTCCGAAAGAGCGGCGCGATTACTTAGGTCGCTGGCACATTGGTCTGCATCAGAGTTCTGATTACATCCATACTTGCCGTCAGATTGTGCATGACATTCAGCGCCGTGTATGCGACAAGTTGTCGGGTGGCAAACCCGGGTACGATGAGGAGGAGCTGTTTGAGGAGCTGCGCGAGTGGCTCCGCGATCGGGGTTCTGATCCTGATCCGTGGTTGAAGCTTCATGCTGTGATGCGTACCGTTGCTGGCTGCAAGGTATTGAATCAGACTTGGCCTTTACTGGCCGATTTCACCGACGGGACGGACAACGCTGCCCCGGCCCCGCCGGTTTCGAACTCCTCTCAGACTGATAAGGAATCTCCTTTCTGGGTTAGCATCAGCAGGCATTCTGGTCATCGTCGGCTGCACATTAGGAATGGCTGCTGGGTCACTCCGAGCAGTTGCCACCGCTTCGCCGAGGTTTGGGAAGCCGGACCGAATGTTGCTGATAGCTTCTGTAAGCTCTGTTATAAGGAGAAAGTGGATCCGTCCTCGAGTTCGGGGGAGTCTTCGTCGACCGAGCTCGGGGAGCCGACTGAGGATAGTGGGGCCCCCGACTTGAGTTTTCACACCTGAGATCAGACTGTCAGATTCGCGTGCCAGCGCAAAGGGGTGTCAGTTTGCCTCAGTGCTTTCAATGCCTTTTTGCCTCGTGCTGGCTGTCAGTGCTATCAGTTGCAGTTGCGTGAGCAAATCAGATGCTTGAAATGGGCAGTTTTCTGCTCAGTACTTCACGTTGTGAAGCTCGGTCGACATTACTATACGAGCCACTCTCAGACTTTCAGTGCTCCTTTGGGGCTGTCAGATTTCATTCGTTCAGTACTGTCAGTCTTTAGCTTCGCTCGTCTCGGGGCGACAATGGCGGCCGATCCTGCGGCACAGCGTCAGTTCTTGAAAGATAACGTCGATGCCGACTTTATCTTCCTTCTGGAAGAGCATGGTGTTGACTTAGCGTTGCAGTACGCCATTGGTCAGCATTACAAGAGTATCAGGACATTTGCTGCTTTTGCCGATGATAGGGGGGCGGCTCGGACGGCCATCACCGCGGACTTCGGCGTTCAAGCTGAGAGTGCGGCAGATCGTGCTAGGATGGCATGTGTCATCACTTCTTGGGAAGCTTCCAAATTGATTCGCGAGGAGGAAGCTAAGCTTCGGGCTGAGGCTAAGGTGTTGGGGGTCCAGAAGCCCCTCGTCTCTTCCGATCGAGCGGCTATGCGAGCTGCTTTGGAGGCGGTAAGGGGCTACTCTGTTCCAGAATCTGAGGAGCCTGCGCTTGAGTACCTCGCACACAAGCTTGAGCAGATTGAGAATGGCGAGCCCGCTGCTAGTTATCTTGATGAGGGCCCAAGGGGAAGCTCCCACAGAACACTGAGGAACTCCGAGCGAAGATTCGGCTCGAGGCATCCACATGGGTGATGTTGGCCGCGAAGTGTCGCGGTCGGGCCTATTTGCAGGGATTGCAGTTGTCACATTTTGATCGTTTCTTGGAATATCTTCTGGGAGACAAGTGCTACAGTATGCAAGTCGCATCGGCGGCTCCCATGAGTTCTTCTGCACATGCTGATCGTCACACTTTGTCTGTGCCCTGGAATATCTTGCTTCAGTATGAGTTCGAGCTTCGTAAATGGGCCATCAAGGAGGCACATCGTTTGAGTGCCCCGCTGGGTGACAAGCTGCATGAGGCTACCACTAACACCGAGCTCAAGGAGCTGCATTTTACGTCTCAGGTGGCATTGTCTCGACGCTCGGCCGGAGCCGACCCTCCGCCACCAAAGTGGCCCCGCAAAGGCAAGGACGGCAAAGGGGAAAAAGGTGGCAAGGACGGCAAAGGTGGCAAGGACGGAAAGGGCAAGGCCGATGGCAAGATCAAAATCGGCGAGTCATGGTTCGATCTGGTCTCGAAAACACCGGACGGACGTGAGTTGTGTTACGCTTACAACATCAAGCGTGGGTGTCAGGTCAAGGGATGTCAGCGAGTTCACGCGTGCAGAGTCAAGGGTTGCCAGGCGAACCACCCGGCATACCAGCATGGCGCGCAGGGCGGCTCCTGACTTCGTCGTGATGAGTTTAATTCAGTTTCGGATTCCACTTCGGGTGTGCGCCCTTCGCTGCGGGTCCTCTACTTGTTTTCTGGTCCTACTCGAAAGGCGGATGTTCGCGCCTGGCTGGAGGTCCTATGCACGTCACAGAACATCATTTTGGAGATGTCCGAAGTCGACATCTGCCGTGACCCAAGTATGGATTTGCTGGACTCTGCAGTGGCTGATCGGTGCTTGCTTCAAGTCCAAAATTCGGAGTGGGACGTGGTCTTGGTGACTCCGCCCTGCAATACCTTCTCTCGGGCACGATGCGTACAGCCGGGTCCTCGGCCACTGAGATCACGTATTTACCCTGCGGGTTTTCCTTGGCTTTCAGACTCACATCGTGCTGCCGCGGATAATGGCAATCAGTTTGTTTCCTTTTCTTTTCAGATATGCACGGCTGCCCTTTCGAATTCTATTCCTTTTCTGTTGGAGCACCCTGAAGACCTGGGTATGACAACCACCGGTCACACACCGGCATCTATTTGGCAACTTCCCGAAGCTGCTGCACTTTTTACGCACGAGCAGGTCGTGACTTTTGCGATCTATCAGTGTCACTACGGAGCCCACACGCCGAAACCCACCAGGTTCCTTTCTTCTATCGCAGCCACCTTTGGCATGCGATTCATGGGGCCTCCTCGTTTTGATTCTGCGGACAAGTATCTGGGGCCTCTGCCCAAGTACTGTGGCCATCGGCATTCCAATCGTCTTTTGGGTGCTGCCAACACTGCTGCTGCCGCCGCCTATCCGCCTGATTTATGCAAGGCTATCGCTTCCTGGACCTTCTCCGTCTTCGATGGGGGAGGAGGTGCACCTTCGGTGGCTACGATTCCCGAATCTGCTCACTGTTTTCAGTTCCCGGCTAGGGAGGTTGAGGTTAAAGTGAGTTCTTCACAAGCGGAACAAATGGCTGCGGTCTGCTTGGGAAAGGGTAGGATCGCTCGGGATCAACTTCTCCGCCTCTCAGAGCTCCTGCCGGATGAGGATAGAGTCAGGCAGTCCAGCAGAGAAGTCAGTGGCCAGCGATCTTTCACGACGGGCGCTTACACCCACCAGGACAAGGTGGGGCTCAGGCGCAACATGGATGTTTTCCCTCTGGCATCGGAGCTGCTGGCACGCCTCGTGTCTTGCGGCTTCCCTGATTGCGTCTTCACTTCATTAGCATTCTTTCGTGACCTTAAGCAGCCCCCCCATAAGGACACCACGAATGGTCCATTCAACAATTTGTTGCTGGCCTGTTCGGAGTTTTCGGGAGGGGGCCTCTGGGTTCAGTCTGAGGGAGGTCCGGTTTCTCGTTTTATTAACGGCTCCTGGACCCCTGGATGCATACTGGAATGGGACGGGGGCAAGATTACCTTCGATCCCCATGTCTGGCATTGCACTGAAGATTGGAGGGGCTGCAGGCTAGTCTTGGCTGGCTATACCATTGCGAACGACGACCGACTTTCTCCTGCCGACAGGGATAAACTTGGATCTATGCACTTCGAGCTTCCGGGCAAACGTAAGAGGGGATCGGCTGATTTCTTGATCGACACGGAGGAGGTTGCGACGCTACCTGAACAGGACGACATTCCATTCAGTGAACTGAAGTCTGGTTGCGAAGGGCCACCGATGGTGGGGGATTTCGCTGGGTCCTCGGATGAGTTCGTCGATGGGTTTGGTCGCTGCTCTCCTGGTCGGTGGAAGCCATGCAACCGGGGCACGGCGATGTCCGCTGAATCCTGAGACTTTGCGCAGCGCTTGAAAGAGAGGGTCAGGATGTTCGTCGTGGAGTGTGTTCCGGACTTGGCGAAGTCGACTTTTCGTCTGGCGACGGGACACTGGAACGGGCCGCTCTTTGACCAGGGTCGCTTGGAAGAACTGAGGGAGGACTGGTTCAACATGCTTCCTGATCCCATCCGGGCTCGGGAGATGATTCCTCATCAACCCTTCTACTTGAGGGCGATTTCTCAGACGCTTCGGATTCTTGGAGACCCAGACTATCGCATCATCGAGGAGGGGAAGTTCTGCTTCGTGAACGGTGTCGAGGTGGGGCACACGGCGCCATTGGGGCCAGTGCCTCAAGTGTTCCGGATCCGCAGAAAAGATCAGAAGTACGATGAGTCAACTTGGCAGCCGTTGATGCAGAACTATCGTGATGGGGCTGAAGTTGAGAAGGCCCTGGAGGAGGCTTTCACCAAAGAGGAGGCAGAAGGACGCATGTTCCCGCTTTCTTTGGCGGAGGCGAAAGCACGCTTCCCTGGTCCTGCGCTTCGCATTGCCGCTCAAGCAGTGATTCCGAAACCTGACCATGAATTCCGTGTGGTCCATGATGGGACCCACGGGGTTCACGTCAACAATGAGATTGTTATGCTTGACCGTCTTGAATCGCCTGGACCAAGGGAGATTTCTTCGATTCAGAAGCTGGGCATGGTGGCAGAAGAGAAAGTCCTGTTCGGGCTTGTGGGAGACGTGAAAAAGGCGCACAGGCGATATTTGCACCACCCAGAGCATTGGGGGGTGCTCGCTTGTAGAACGCGGAGCGATTCATCAGTCGTATGGCTTAACCGCACAGGAACTTTCGGAATTGCTTCGGCGGCCTATTGGTTCGCCCGCTTGATTGGTCTGGTGGGCCGCTTGTCTCTCAGAGTTATGCTTCAGGCTTTTGTTTTCATGCTTATTTATGCAGACGACCTACACCTGCTCAGCGGCGGTTCAGATCGATGGCTCAACCTCTGGATGTCCCTTGCCCTTTTGTGCATGCAGGGCACACCCTTCTCGGAGAAGAAGTGGCGCGGGGGACTGCAACTTGATTGGGTCGGTTACTGGATTGATTATGGCCGCTTTAAGCTTGGGATTTCGGAGAAGAGATGCCAGTGGATCATCCGATCGATTGAGGGCATTGAGGGAGACGGCTGGCTTGTGGACGTTCGCCGTTTTCACGAACTCCATGGCCGGCTAGGCTTTATGTCGCAAATCTTGATATGGATCAGACCCTTCCTCGCGCCGGGCTACGCATGGCTAGCGGTAGTCAGCAAAGGGGCGGTATTGGCACTGCCCAACTTGATCCGCTGCACCCTGCGATTCATTCTTGATCGGCTCCGCGCAGGTTCACGAACGTATCCTGCGGGGTTGGCGGATAAGGATTATGGGGAACTCTTCAGAACCGATGCTGCTTGCAACTCTGACTCTGTGGTTCTAGGCGGTTGGTTCCTTGTCAGGGGTGTTGTCTGTAAATCCGCTCCTTGGTTTCAGATTACGCTTCGTCGCGAAGAAGCCCCTTGGCTCTTCAAGGAAGGTCTTGGGAGCTCCTGGGCCAGTACCTCTGCTGAACTGCTATCCTCGCTGGTAGCGCTTCATCTGCTGGAGAGGGATTTTCCCGAGGTGTTTTCATGTCCTGGCTCTTTCAGGGCTTGCTTCGCTGGTGGAACAGACAACAAGTCGGCGGATGCCATTTCTGCCAGACTTCTCACGACAAAGGTCCCTGTGATGTTTGTGCTGATGGAATACGCTCACCGTTGCGACTTGGCCGGGGTCAGATGTCTCTTGAACTGGAGGCCGCGTGATGCGAATCAGGAGGCAGATAGGATCACGAAGAATGATTTCTCAGATTTCTGTCCGGACCTTCGGGTCACTGTCAGCTGGAGTGAGTTGAACTTCTCAGTGCTTCCGTCTTTACTTCGATTCGCGAACTTTCAGAGCACTCTGGAGGATGCGCGTGCCTCTGCTTCTGGCGAAGGACAATCTCCTTCTCGCATTCGTTTCGAGAAGAGTCAGTGGGGCTGAGGCACATGACGATGCCTCTTCGTTGAGTGGGGATTGATGCTTTCGGCATCGTCTCCCAAAAGTTTCATATGCATGACTGGTATGGGCTGTGCGATCCAAAACATGTCGTTGCGCGTTCTTGCTTTCCATCCCCAACATCCTGAACCCCAAACTCCTGAACCTCTGAACTTTTAGCCCTTCGGGCTTTTGGAATGTTTAACTACGCCTCCAGGGTACAAGCCCTGTTTGGGCAGTGAAACGAACCAAACGAATTGTTCCCTGGAGGCCTGGGGGGGTGGGGGGGATGGCAGGGGCGCGGCGGCTCTTTCAGTTGTACGCCCGGCCACTGCGGCTTCGGACCACAGCCATGTTGTCATGCAGTCTTCAGTTCGGTCAGTTGCACTTATGTTCAGTCATGTCAGACATGTCAGTGCTTGCATGTTTTTCAGTCTCTTTTAGGCATGTCAGTTTTAGTGCATTTTCAGTTGGCCTTTTTATTTGGCCACGAAACCTTTTCAGTTTTGCCTTTGACTTTTCGAACAATCTCTGGAGAGCTTTCGCGGAATCTGATCTATGCATCCGATACATCGCGGACCAATCGGGAGGGGATCTTAGAAATTTTAGTTACCCACCCTACCCGCCCTTTTAGATCTCGTTTTCAGGACTGTTCAAAACAGCCCATACATACATGGGGATTGATGCTTTCGGCATCGTCTCCCAAAAGTTTCATATGCATGACTGGTATGGGCTGTGCGATCCAAAACATGTCGTTGCGCGTTCTTGCTTTCCATCCCCAACATCCTGAACCCCAAACTCCTGAACCTCTGAACTTTTAGCCCTTCGGGCTTTTGGAATGTTTAACTACGCCTCCAGGGTACAACATGTCTACATTCTCTGCGCGTTCAGTAGACAAATCAAGAAGTTCAAAAAATTTCTCGAAGGATCCAGCCATGTGCTCCGCACACAGTGCTTTCGCAAGACAGCGTCTGCACTGCGTAAACAAAATAACTACAATCGCACCGATCTTGAACCAGGCTGCAAGAGACTGGCATCATGCGTAGAGCATGCCCGACGTGCAGCACAAGCGACCAAAACTCCGAGTAAGGCCCGTGCAGCAAGGACTGGATGGTGATCGCCGAAGAACAGGAAACTGCGCAGCAAAGAAAAGCAAACAACATCGATGCACTCCGTTGCTCCCTCACGCTCACTCAGCAGCTTTTGCACACTTCGTCAGTGCAATCAGGGCTCCGTGCAGAGGCTACATATACATAGCCCACCGACAGAATGCAGCTTTCGCAAGACAGCGTCCACTGCTCCGCACGGGGACGCCGTGGGCTATATATGTATATATATATATATGTATATATATATATACATATATATATATATATATATATATGTATACAGCCCACGGGCAGAATGCAGCTTTCGCAAGACAGCGTCCACTGCTCCGCGCAGGGAGGCTACATATCTCATGTATAGCCCACGCTCGTAGTGCAGCTTTCGCAAGACAGCGTCCATTGCTCCGCACGAGGACAAGACTGCACGACCTTTAGTCAACTCTACTCCTACGTGCGTCTCTGTCGCTGAAATACAATCATGAGTTCGAGTTCCGTCTTCAGCATCTCCTTCATGAGATCCGTCGCGTGGATGGTGTTCACGGAAACGATCTTATCCCCTTTCTGCACCCGCCGCAAACGACACGACGACGAGGAAGGCATCGACTCCATGAGTGCATTGTGCGTGTCAACAAGCCCATCTGGCACGACTTCAAACACCTCCATGGTGCGAGTGACGAATTTCAGTCCGATCTTACTCTCTCTGCTGTCACGATGAAGCATCACCATAAATTCTTTCTTATCGGTCCGCCATCCACCAGGCGGGGGTGGAGGCGCAGGACGACGACCGCCTCCTTGATCGGCACCACGATTGCACAAGGCAGCCACACGCTCTCTGACGATTTCATTGCCAGGACACGGCTGTAATGCACGTCAAGGCGGTGATTGGATCCGCGCAAGCAGCCCCACCATTCAGGCCAAACGCTGCAGAAGTGTGCACAGGTGTAGCTAGCGGCAGCAACATAAAACTGCTCAGACTCGACAACGCACTGACCACACGAAGCAAATCAACATGCTATTCTCCTCGAGACTCACAAGTAGAATACTTGACAGGATATCTAGACACAGAAAGACAATTGCACATCGCCAGATAAGATCGGCAGCTGTGCCTTCTCCTCGCACCGAGGCAGCAACTTTTGGACCTCATGCAGAGAACTGCACACATAGCACACGAAAACACGCATTTCGCTCGTGCGCAGACGCGTATGCTTTTTATCATGGCCACGCTAGCCGTGCGAAATAGGTTCCGCCGCGCCGCCGCACTTTCGCAAGACGGCGTCCATGCGGCGGCTTGCGGCAACCGGAGGCACACTCGGTCGTTAAAAAAAACAGCACGCTAAGCCCCACCAGCAGCTCAGGCACTCTGCCAGTTTTCGGAAAGAGTATATAGCAGTGTGCCGTCATCGGAGCGCAATTCGGCACGAAGTGGCATGTGGAGACGATACCACTGGGTCCGCTCGGGCGTCTTCTCCAACAGTTGCTTTTCCTTAGCGACACTTTATTTTCACCAAAACAAAAGCGCATGCTGTCGTGTCCCTGCAATTCACACGTTTTTGCAAGATACCACCAGCGTCAGGTAGCCGATCGCCGTGAAGGTCAGCTCATGCGCTCTCACGGAATGCGGGTCACCGCCAAGCGCCCACTCCCCTCCCTGCCAGGTCATACAGTCGCTCTCCGTGCAGCGCTGCATGGCCTCCGAACGACAGCAACTGAAACAATGCCTTAACACTTATCGCTGTGCTACATCACCGCCGAGGCGCTGAGACTGCGTCGGGACGCAATCCCCAGCGACCCCTGTGCGTACCCGCCACTTGCTCTCCGCGCAGGACTCGAGCCGACTGGTCGGCTGTCAGACCTACGAAAACACGCAGTTCCTGCATGGCGTGAATTGCCATGCTGTGCTTTCGCAAGACGGCGTCTGCACGGCCCACAAACAGATCAAGGCTGCTATTGTGCTGATGTCGAAACAGGCTGCGCGAGAGTGACATCACATGCAGGGCAGAGTATGATGCGACACATGCTGGCCTGAGACAGCCGAGGCTCTGAACAAATCCACATAAGGTCCCCGCGCGAATGCGCGGATGGCGGTTCCCGTGGAGTCCTTGCGCTTGCAAGACGACATGCATCCGAGTTTCTCGACGATGATTTCTGTTAAGAGCACAACACCGCACACAACCCGCAACTGGGTTCGTAACCTTCGGCCGCAACGCAGAAGATGCCTGATCGGATTCCGGGGTGTTCGAGGGGGAGGGGGGGGGGCCTTGAAGCCTTCAAATGTGGGGAGTAGCTGCTTTCCAATGCTACAGGAGAAGAAACTAAGGGTCGGGGAGGCAGCCTCTGCTGTTTTGGTTGTTGTAAACATTGCACACATACCAAAACAGATAACAACATAAACACTGCTGGCAAGACGACGGTGGCAACTTAAATTACCCTAAGTCAGACCTAAACCTGATATAAGCGAGCCGGCAGTCGACACATCCTGCCACGCCGCTGTGGCAGATTGCTGGCATGAGGCGGAGGAAGGTCCAGGCTAAAACCCAAACATCGGGCTGTTGGGGATTTTGGATGCCACCGTGTCTAGAGCCAGCCTCAAAAGAAATACGGCTAGAGCAACCATGCACAGCTCAGTCAGTAGGGCTTAGACGAGGTGTTATCTAAGGTCTAGCTGGGGGCACGAATTGCGCATGCACGATGTGCTCTCTTTCCCTCCACGATGTTTGACAGCTTTGTAAAGCTCGCAATGCCAGAAGTCGTCGATTATTCCGAGACCGAATGCCACGCCTGTCTCGTAACGTTTTCTGGAAGCTGTTCCACACTCAATTGAAGCGACGTCTCTACGAGAGCTGCAACGCCATAAGCCAATCCAACTCACGGCCAGATTTCGGACACGCTGAAAAACAGCGAACCACCGAAGACTGTTTCCTTCAGCCGGACCAATTGGACGGTGATTCGACCACGCTTAGTCTCTGCCGGCAAGCACCTAGCCCAACCACCCCAAGGCCCTGTAAAGCACCCTGCGAAATTCACCCATGCACCAAATCTTTAAACCCAAAGCCCCGAACGAAATGCCAAAGCATACCGCACGGCATTTGGCCCGAATACCACAATGCCCGAATCCCCCCAGCCCTAAAGCACCAAGGTACCGATCATACAAGCCACAAAGCAACCAACCATACTTACCGAACCCCGAGCAGCTGAATTCATAAGCCCAGACGAAGACAACCCCCGCAGCACCCAGCCCCAATGCCTCTGATGGAGCCTGGTCCAAGTCCTAGACCCCCGCTGCCCGAACCCCCGGCCTTTCGATTCGAAGCTTCGATTCAAGAACAAAAAAACCTCTGGAATGCTGGCAAACAGTCGTGGCAGGAGGAGGGGAAGGTCAGACCGCTCGGCAACAAGACTTGGACTGGCTTGATACAACTCAACACTTGTTCTGCGGTCGATCTAAGCGCATCTCGGCTGGCTTCCCAGTGCACGGGGAAAGTCGACGCCGACGGCTCCTCAACCCTTCGTCGGCGCCACTCAGTCGATAGTTCTCCTCGACCGGCAACACTTCCTGACCAGGTGTCGCCAGGGGCAAGCAGTAGTCAAAGGAGCAGGGGAATGCCTCTGATGGAGCCTGGTCTAAGTCCTAAACCCCCCCTGCCCGAACCCCCGGCCTATCGATTCGAAGCTTCGATTGAAGGGCAAAACGACCTGTGGGGTGCTGGCAAGGGCAAGCAGTAGTAAAAGGAACAGGGGAGGGGGGGGGGGAGACTGGCAGCTGAGTTTTCCGGAATCCCAAGGCTGCGCCTGGAATTGCCTTCGACTCCGTCAGGCCGCCGAAAAGCTCCTTTTGCCAGAGCATCGCTGTGCCCATGTTCACCACCGGCTGTGCGTCGCCGAATTTTCGCGTCGGTGAAA